GATCGTTCTTAGGATCAATATCCGCCCAGGTTATCGAGCCTTCTACCCTTCAGGATCGATTAATTGGGAAAAGACATCTGGGAGGATGGTATTGAATCGTATGCTGGCTTTCCATGTCAAGTTATTGTGTAAGCTAGTTACACATTCAAACACCATTACCATGCTGAATCAATTGTTGCTCACTCGGTGCTAGGTGCTACAGGAGCTTGTTCCTCGAATGATACTGTTCAACTTCTGGAGGCTATATCCTTTTTCCTATCATATAGGGCAGCCCATAACGAGGTGTTAACGCCTTACCTGAAAGCGAGCGTGGAGACCCTTGAGAAAGTAGACGTGGCAGCTGTTCTCTAATATTATGTTTTATTCCAATAATGTTATTTGGCTGTTGCATGCCTGAGAAATACCTTCATCGAAAGAGGCCATGATTGAGTTTCCTTGATCCATATTATTGGTGCCATAGATATAATTGTGGAGCCGTGGCCAAGATAATACAGCTTTACTCGACCTTGCCGCCTTCGCCACAGCTTTAGAGTTTCCTTCACTTGCATATACATGAGACTCATCCCATTCAAGGGGCATCTTTTTCGGAAAGCATCACAACCCTCGAAATAACTTTCGCACTTGGTCTAGGCTCTTTTAACTTTATTCGATTTTCCTCACGGTTTGTTCTCCTCACGTTTCCTTGATACTATCCAGCTGATCTTGATGTACTTTCAGAACTTTTGCCATTCATTCCTCGGAAATGGAAGAAAATACCCGTCTTGGGTACGGCATTGGCTTAGGGCTTCTAGCGATGGGGCTCTTCGTGGTTTACGTTCCAGTCTTGTTGGTGAGTTCAATTCACTTCTCAAAGATTTTCTTGACGAATGTTCATGACATTGAACCGTAAGCGATCGCGGTAGAAGCCATTACCCCGCAGCATATTTACTGATCTAATCCCGCTGAGGGTGAGCTGTTGTGTGTACCATCCAGCTCAGATAGCGACAATTTTGAGTTTTGTGGCTGAAAACAGAGACTGGTTCAGCTTATGCAAAAGTTCTTCTAGTATGGTCTAACGAAGCAGCTTCATTCTTCGTAAATTCGAGATTGATGCGCCGTGAATTCAAATTCTGTCCAAATAAGAGAAACATAAAAATGCATTCCGAGCATGTGCAAAGCACATGCTAATAGAAAATTGGCTAGCGGACAATTGTTTAAGCTTTTTTCCGTCTTCCAGCCATTTATATCTTGCGAGCTAATAACTTTTTCATTTCTTTCCTTTTATCCGATTTCCGGTCTTTTTTTTATCGTCTAGACAAAGAAATGTCTGGAAAAGTCACAACTTTGTCTGCATTTCTGCAAAAGAGAGTTGAAGGGAAAAGATAGAAAATGGGAGTTTTTTTTACTGAATTCCAACCGAAAACATTAAAAGCAACCTGGAATGTGATCTAGGAAGACCACCATATCCAAGCTTTGTTCAGAAGGGAACAGAAAGGGCAGGTAAAATTGTATGCTGACAAATGACAGTGACAGGGTAGGGACCCTCGGCCGGTGTGGGATCAACACAAAAGAAGGGAAGAAGGAGATTTTCAAGAACAACCTTTCTTCCAAAAAATTTTTTTGACCGGGTACAGTTCCCGTTGGCAAAACACCGAGCTCTTTTCTCGCAGCTATCTTATCGTTATGACTAAGCCGGATCAGGTAGTAAGTTGGGTAAGCTGGTTCAACAGCGCTCAGAATCCATCTTTTCTTTCTCATTTTTTCAGTGTATTTCATTTTCTCAATCACACAGCCGATAGTTCCGCTATTATTTTATTCTTGAAAACAATTCACATTCGTCACTTTCTTCAAAAAAAAAATTATAGGAGTTAGATAGGTGCTCATTCACTGGGAACATACTGGTATGGGTTTACGCTTTAATAACTTATTATCGTCTGAGACAAATTACAAACAGCTGCTTAATTTTATTGTGCAGCGTATAATTGCGCCGTTTGACGTACATTCGTGGTAGATTGATTTCGCACCAGGAAGTTTAATGGGGAGCGATGGAATTAAGAGGGAAAGGAAAGGGGAGAGGGGAAAGAGCTGGTGCCGTTGGAGGGGAAATTCACCGAAACACTTCAATCGTTCCAAGGAGCAATTAGAGATCAAGTTCACAGCGCAATCGCTGAGTTATAGGCAAAACTTCGACCTCGAAGGGATTCGAAGCATCCTTCTCTACTTGTGCTCTCGTGCAGAACCGTGCTCCTAACCTGGGTCCGGTATCTTCCCCCCGAACACGGCGTCGCGCTCGCTCGTTCCGCGATCGCGGAACTGCGGCGGAAGATTGGTGCGCGCCATTTGTGAGTTAGGGAGTCCTTGAATTATTTGAACTCGCTGGCTGGTTCCTTCGATTTCAATGCGGTCTTGATCATCGATAACATAGGTGGAGTCATTCCAAACAAACAAGTCTAATAAACATAAAAACGAAAAAAGAAGAGAAAAAGAGCCAAAACCAATCAAGAAAAGACAACAGAAAAATTTCGTCTTTTCGATTGCGGAGTGGCGGGCTGAGTACGGTAATTGCAGTTTAGAGCTGCAAGACAACTAGAAAAGATTTGCCGCATGCCGCAAAGCGAACGTGGAAAATTGGGGAGAAGTTCCGTTACCCCTCCTTACACTGTACCCTGTCCTTCGAGATACCACGGCAAAAACGTAAACAACACAACTTCATTCGAAATTTCAGATCTTATTCGTTGACAAGGAATTTCGACGTTCGACCGCCTACATTATTATAACGCATATTGGTGTGATGGACGTCCTACAACTCTTAATTCATATGTACGCTGCTGTGGCCGTCATTGCCGATATTCATATTCAGTCTGTCATCCAAAAGGTACAAACATTGTTCGACTAGGGTTTAAGCGTCAGTTGGCTTTCCCCAGTGTTTAATGGTTAGGTGGATCCAGCCGAAAGCGTAAGTTGCTCCAACGGAATCATTGGGCTGTCACTGAAGGAGTAGAGTGTATGAACTTAGCATTCAGTTGAAGTGCTTGAGATGAAACTCATAGAAACTCGTGCAATTAATTTCTGTGATGCCTAAATCATGAAGGTTTAGTTGGGTCTGAAAATGTGCTGAGAACTTGATGAAAACTTTTTCAATTGCAACTGACATGCTTTAGCTCGGCCTGCTAATCCTTGATTTGTTACTCTTCAGGTCATCGGTGCATTACTTACTGGTCTGTGGTTTTCCATGATATGTTTTACAATATTCCTCACATTCAATCGTCTTTCCAGTATACTATTGGAACGATGGTTTCCTATTCTCACTTCTCTCTATCTCAACTATGTAAGTCTCTAACTGGAACATTCTAATGACAGCTTCAACAAAAGATCATT